GGGAGGGGGTAGTCGTCTGTTCTCGTGCGTTACTTTTGTCTCTCTTTCTTCTGCCACCTTAGAGCCTGAATTTCCTCTTTCTCTATTCTTTCTGGCGCTGCAGTAAATGAGATTTTCTTTTCTGTGCCCCCCCTCGCCCCCGCCCCACTTGTGCCTTGGTTGTGAGCTGGCGCTCTCGTAGTAACAGTACATAGGTAAATTCTTTCCTTTGTATTTCTAATTCCCATTTCTGCCATCTTAAGAACAGTAAATAGTCTACGGAAATGGGTAGGCCACTTCTACATTGTCACCGACTTCTCTTTATTGTAAGGGTTCGGGTGTATTTCGGTGAGGGAGGGGAGCTTTCCTAAGACTTCTCAGTTTTTCAACAAGCGGCAGTTCAATGAAAACAAAATAAAATTGAGGTATGGGTTTCCTTTGAAGCCCCCTAGGTAGGCCTGTACCTGCCTCCTTTTTAAAAATTCTTGCACTTTGTTTACTTCATTTGTGTGCTTATGTTTACTAATGCAAATGATGCAGTGATGATATCATGATGGGTAAATGCCCTTCGCCACCTCAGCACCCCATGCCTGTCAGTGGGCATCATGGCGGGTGATTGAGCTCATGGGGTCGGTTGGTTCTCTCCATTTCTGAAGGTCACTGCCTCGTGAGCATGCTATAGATTTTTTCCTTGTCTGGATTTTCTTCCTATGTTATACACCTGTCTTTCCCCCAATTATCTGTGGGCATGATTTGCTACTTTTTAGTAAGCCTGATGGATTAGTAGAGGGGTGTGTGTGTGTGTGTGTGTAAATTTGTGTACATTTTTTACAAGTTCGCTTGAAAATATTGAGCTCCTCCAATCCTTTTAAAGGTACTCCAAAGCCTGTTTTCAGTCCTTGCCTTGTTCCAAATACACTTTGAGGGAAGACAGGAACCCCCCCTCCATTTGTGTCATGTAAATATACTGATTCTAATGTATTCTATAGGCTGTTTCCTTTTTTATTTGCTGTCATCTTATGAATTTCAGTGTCTTTTTGAAAAGAAACATGTGCCTTTTGCAGGTGGGGGTGTATGTGGGTGAGCAAGCTTGGATGACAGTGAAGGGTGTGGGGGGCCAGTAATGTATTTTCCATGTGACCTTTGCAAGCTGCTTCATGCAGCTGTAATCAGTTAACATAAAGTTCCTGTTCATGGTGAAGACAAAACCTTAAGTTGTGCTCCAACTATGAATGGCACATTTCCTTTTCTCTGTGGTTGTACTAAAAAAAAAAGTCTCCAATTGGAGTTTTCTGCAAGCTGGTTGTTAAAGCTATTGTCTTCAGTCATCTTGAAAATGACACCCGGGGAGGGTTTTTAATGGAACAGAAGAAGCTGTGTTGAACTTGTGAATGAAACAAACTTCCATAAGGGAAAAGTTAATTTTTTACTGAGTGACATTCCCTGGTTTACATCCGGGATAGTGGTGGATTTTAAAAAAGTTTCAGTAACTGGATATCATATGTACATTTTTTTTAAAATGAATGAAATATTGTTTCAGAAGGAAATAAGTTGCTTGGGTACACCAGCTGGAATCTGAAGAGTAGCTATTCTGTCCAAGCACTTTGCTGCTCTGCTCAGTTTGTTTGGCATGTAGTAAGGTATTGTTCAGGAAGACACAGGCTCAAAGTGTGTTCAGGCTCATAAAAGAATTGGAATGGATCTGTCAGTTCTAGCCATAGACACTTAAGAGACACACTTATGAAATGTCATTTAGTGTGTGGTACAATATATGGCCTAGAATCTGCAACTTGGTCTTCCTCCAGTGTATTAGAGAACAGGTCCTATCACCCCTAGATAAAGTTGCCATTGAGAATGCTGGCCATGGATGATAGGAGTTGATGCTAGCATGTCTGGTGGGCACTAGTATGGTACATTATAAGGCAATCTTGTTTCATTACATCTCCACTCTTGTTTCATTACATCTCCATTCTGCTTCTCCAGCGGCAGCTTGAAGTGTCTTGCATTTTGGGTGTGTGTGGGAGGCACAACAGGTGACTGTGGGTGAGCCAGGGATGACAGGCAAGAGTCATGGGCAAAAGTGGATGTGGATCCAAGAACACCTAAGCAGACTCAGGCAGGCAAGCAAGTATTCATTTACACGCATGGGCACACACAAAACTAGACATGTGTTTATTCAAACACTTCCTTCCCACAAGCTCCCTCCATTTATGTCCTCAACTCAGTGGAGGAGCAGAAAAGGGCACTTTGCCCCCAAAGCAAGAGCCATTCTTATCTCCTGCCGTTTCCCTCTGTGCAATTGACTTATCAACTCATATTCATTATCTAATTTTCTCCACCCCTCTCTCCGAATATAGAGCGTGAGACTGGAAGTTCAATAGGGGAGCATAGGCAGGGACTTACATGCCAGCGCTGTTAATACTAGCATTCAAATTAGGTTCACAAGTACAGTATTTCACTTTGAGTTATTCAGGAAATTTGCCTTGTTTCTTTACAGTTCACAATCCCTTTATGGGCAGAATCACTTATCATTATTTTCCATGTAAGGTGAATCTGAAACTGTGTTTAGGATACCCCACAATTCTGTTCAGCCCTGCTTTGTTGAAAGGAGCCGAACCGTTGTGATATATGGACACACCCTTAGAATAAATTACACCATTAACAGTTACGTGAACAGGTAGTTCAGGCGAAGCAGCCTATGCGTCTTTTAGAAAACACATACAGTATTTGTTTTGTTGCTTACATTGATTTCTTCAGTAAGAATTTAATATGAAATTTGTATAAGTAAAGACCTGAACTTGGGATCCTGCTTATCACAGTGCCTATCAAACATTGCTTCCTTAATGATACTCTGCCTTTGTGGA